CAAGCTTTGAAGTGACCACGCATTAAATTCCCAAAAATATGATTGGTATTAAATTACCGCTGAAAATAATGAGAGAAAATAAAGAAACTGGCCAGCTAAAGAACTGTGACTCTGATGCACCAAAACTAACGTCAAGAAGTGAGAGAAATCCAAATGATGCCTCTTAAAGGGTCTAACCCCACAACTCAGTTCCTCTTTTTTGGAGCTCTTCGTTATCACTTTCTTAAACACAGCTAGCCCTTATCAACTAAGTTCTGGGTTTTCCTAGCAACATCTGTTACATTTGTCAGGTAAGTGGATACAAGTAACGGGCGTAAATGAAATCACTAACAGTACCAAACTATCATATATCATAACTGACAATAGGGAATGTTTAGTAAAGTAAGGAGAATAATTCTTTAGTGGTTGAACTTGACCTCAAGAAGCTTAATAATTTTTAAGTTACCTGAGTAATCTTGTTATATACGAATACCCTCACGAGTGTCAGTTTTCCAGCCATCTTTCTTGCCTGGAAGAAAAACTTTCAGAAGAACAGAAATAAGTATTTAATTAAACGAATTAGGCTTATTCACAACTATTCCCACTGCTGTTGGTCTTAATAACTGCAACCTCTTTTTGCACTAGAATCTGCAAATGACAAATCCAACAAAACAACTTTGTTACCAGAAATGCGAAATAAGTGTTAAACTATGATGTGAAATAAAGAATTCAAATGCAAGAAGATTGAGAGTGAACTGGACTGACTTGAGCAGAAACGATAGATTAATTGGACATGGGACTTATATTTAGATATACAACCTACTGATCATGATGTAAGTTTGTGTTCAGTCGGCGAATATGAACAATTGCTTGTAATATCTACTTTTGAGGATAGTTCTTACCTCGAGAAGGACCCAAAAGCCATCAAATTTCCCGGGCAAGGGCTTTTACGTCTCTGGTTTATGCGAAGCACGTGCTTGAGAAGTCTGCTTGAAGTATAGTTCTTGTCACAGGTATTTGTGTTCAGTAGCAGTTCCTGATGTACGGGCATATCCTACTCTGAATATTGATAGATTTGTAGCAATGAGAGACGAGAAAAGAATATTATTTCTGCTCGCTGAGTTCTGAACGTGGATGGCAAAGCCTACGACCAACGAACACAACGTGACAAATGTTTCTTCGCATCAATAATTTGCAATTTAAATTTTGAAATGCTCGTGACCACGCACCAGAGGTCGTCAAAATGCGACGATCTAATTGGATGGTCATATCAATGTCACAATAAGTGCTTGGAATTTAAATTTCCTATCATGCTGTCTTCATTTTCGGGGAAAGTGAGTTTTACAGAGCCAAAAATTAAATATAACATCATTTCTGGAAATATAAATCATTGCTGGAATGCATGCAGCAGTAGCTGCTATATATTGGCCGTTCATTTGATGCATTTTCTGGCGTATATATGTATCACAAAAAATAAACAAAAAAGTTAAGATTGCGTTCCTACACGATTTTAACGTAAATCTGAAAACTTGAATGAATATTTTTGTAGAACAGAAACAGAAACATGCGCATTACATAAAGTTAAAATGTAAGCGCTCAGGCCGACGTCACGAGACACGTAACCCCAAGGTTTCCGAACTGATCTTTCAAACTAATGGCAATACAGTGTGCTAAATGCTATTTCTCTGGAAAGCCACGAGTCTATGCTGCATCCTACGATGCAGCATATAATAGGCATTTGTCGAAAGTAAGGATTTCCAAATTTAAAAGACAATGTAATGTTAGAAAAATGATGTACTAATATCATCAAGTGCAATTTTAGTAAACCTAGAAGATTAAAACGGGTTGTATTGGTAACAGGGCAATTAGATAACGGATGAACAGCAGTTTAATGAAATTAAAGGTAAAAAAAAACAACACTTTTTTCGAATTTGAATTGTTGTATAGGATACACAAACGCCTCAGGCCATCACGCAATATTATTCCTACGCGTTTTATCCCTTTAATTAACTATTTTTCCAAAACAGTGGGGAATGAGGGGAGGACTTTCTAAAGCGGGAGGTTTAAAACTAAGACGAGAAATAATTTCAAATCGTTACTTGAAGCAAAGTTCAGTTTCAATTCTACTACAGACATTCGATTATTCGCCTTCGGTGTCGTCAACTATCACCTCGTTCTAAATCTCGAGAGCATAATCTAATTGTTAAATAGAGACAATCGCTTGAAAGCTAAGGAGAACTAGAAAAAGCTGTGAAACAGTCGCCTACAACTTGTGTCGCGTCAGCATTTCACGTTCTCCAAGCTTCCATTGTGTTTCTAAAACTAGATAGAGTCACGTAAATATTGTTTTATTACCAAGAGATAATGAAGAGTACAAGATTTAACCCTTAATGTAAGGTTCATTGGCCAAGTTATTTTTAGACGTGGTACTCAGTTCTTTCGCGGATAATGTCACCACGCGCGTTACGTGGATGTTTCTGTGGTGTTGAAAATGCGTCGAAGACCGCGGCTGAGTTCTTGAACAAAATCTGCGTCAGAGCATTGGCTATTTCTAGTCCCTCTTGGGTTTTCTACCGAGAATATTCTAATTTAAAATTGACTTTAACCGGATTACCTTGGTAATGAGGCCTATTTTATGGATCAACCCTGAACTCGCTTACCCTCCAACGTCTCTTGCTATTTCTTCATGGTAGGGTGAATAAATGATCATACGGGAAGAAATGGATCGGCAAAAAGTAGCTATTGAAAATAAAACGCTCAGGTTGAGGATTTTAAAGAAGGGAATTCGAGATACGGACCACCGAATGCTGTCTACTGCACGGGGACGGCGCGCATCCCTCCCCGGAAAATTTTTAACATTGAGGTCCTCGGAAATGGGATTACCGGCATTCTGAGGCCGAGTACGACCAAAAACCCCCCAGATCCACCCCACGGGTCAATAGCTCTGATTCCGGATAGGTTTATGTTTCCTTTGAGGTTAGGAGCTTGGAACGATATCGCCGCGAGAATTACGTGGCTTGCTCGATAACCTATATATACAAATGTGGCGTTTGGCGATGGGTTTTAGTCAGAAAAGAAACCTTACCATGTTTCGTTGTTTACCACGGATAAGACTGGAGCAATGAAAATCAGATTTGATAATGCCACAATTGTGTCACCAGTGCACTAAACAACATCATTACAAATACTTTATTTATAATATACTAACAAGGTTTATTTACACTTCAAAAACTGCATTGTCTGCGTTGGTACTGCTTCCGTTTTCACGAGAAGTCTCTTAAATTACGTACTGAACATCGCTGGGTTTGCTGTAAGTTAGTACGAGATGACTATAGCGGGGCTATTCCTTCACCACATGATGTACATACAGTTGCACAGGGATGTACAGTTGTACAATGATCTTTGCTTGGCAGTGCAAGTTACTTAACACTGGACGTATGTAGGTCTCCTTCTGTTCTTGTATTGGCGTTTCACCATAAGTCCTTTGATGCAGGAATGAAACTGTTTGTGTAAGGAAGCTGGCAAAAACGTCTCACTACTCCAGTCGTTGCTTTGTTGTTTAATAGAATGGCACCCAATTGCTTCCATCTTCTGGTAGAAGCTTTCCCGTTATCAGCAGAATCACATCCACGATCCACCAGATACCTAGACCACCAAGGGTTAGGAGTTTTCCTACAGCTGTACCAGTGTGTCCTAAACAGAAGCGGTCCACTCCAAGAAATCCTAAGAGAACAGAGTACAGGAGGGTGGTCACAAAACGGTGACCCGAATATCTGTCGAAAGGACAAGACGAAAGAGAATGTTAGAATGCAATATGGCTTGTCTAAAACAAACCCTTAAGTGAACCTCGTTAATACCGTCACCAACGGGCTATGAAAAATTGACCATATGAAAGGGGTAGGGTCAAATTTCATGACTGGTTTATTTTAAGTGACGTCTTGACGTAATATATCAAACGCGAGAGTCAGTGGTTTATCAGGATATATATACGAGAAGAGAGTTGAAAATACGACGCGCAGCCCAGTATCTTTGACGAAATTCGAGCTGTTTGTATAGTCCGAGAAACACTGTCTTGAGTGTTTGATATATCTTCTCAATCGAAACA